TACCAAACCAACAAGTTAAACAGTATCTTAAAGCACTTCCAATACATGACTTCTAGAAAAGTGTTTAAATAAAAAATAAATTGTAAAAAGACATATACAGAAACAGATGCAAGCTGTGACCTACAGTAAAAACATTTAAAACAAAACAGCAAAATCCAGTTTAGGCTAAATGGTACAGTGATCTGCAAGCATTTGTCAAAATGATACTAGAAAAGCAAGAGAGTGATAGAAAGGGATGCTGCAATGGAACTTAAAATCAATAAAAAGTTTTTTGGGTATTACAACAGCAAAAGATCAGTAAAGCATGAAGTAAAATGTATCCAGAATAATAATGGAAAACATCTAGAAGATGAAACAGAAATGACTGATGTATTAAATTAATATTTCATCCAGGTGTTTACCAAGGAAGAACTCAACAGAATGCCTCAGGCTGAATAAACACAAAGTTCTAAATCAAATAATACCAGAATAGAATAAGTAGTACTGTTACATATACCAGAAAAACTTAAGATAAACAAAAACTCTGGGGCCTAGTGGTATTCTATCAATTGTACTGAAGGAAACAAGAGATTCACAAACCATTACCAAGTCTTTTTACAGCAGTGTCTCATGACAGGGTTGGAAAGACAGGCTTAATACCCACTGACTCACACACAGAAAAAGTTACAGAACTGAACCAAATAATTATAGACTAATAAATCTGTTACATATAAGGTTAGGGGGACAATAATTATACAGTAACTAAGCTAGAGGATCAGAATTAGATATGATTTTAATGAATAGAAAAACTAGGCCTTTCTTAACTAAGTTGTGAGAATTCTTTGAACAAGCAACAGAAGTGATGAATATAAAACATGCAACAAAGTTTATTTAGATTTTTAGAAGGATTTTCCACAAATATATAAATTCTCAATTTACAGGCAATAGGTGTCCAAATTAAAGCATGTACAGGGCTTAAAAATCTATCACTTGACAGGAAATAGTGGTAAATAGATCTAGGGTAAATGCTAAATTTCAGATGATGCAATTAGTGGAGTACTTCCGGGGTCTGTATCTGGTGCACTGCTCTTCCTAATTTAAGTCAGTGATCTAGATTTTTGGTAAAGTCAGCCACCTACTGTAGTTCCCAGATAATGATAAACTGGTACACTTGTAGGATTGTTGTTTTGGAAATCAGTCCATTACCTATCATACTGTAAGCCACTGAGACGCCTTGTTTGTAATTAAAGGAACTTGCATGTTTCATGTTTATGTTATGTGTTGTTTAGTGTGTCATTGTCATTGTTAATAAATATTTGTTTGACCCAGTGTACCTGACATATTAATCTTTTCACCAAAGCTGTGCCAAGGTAAAATAACTCAAGTTTATTTTAACTATTGATTATTGTCACAGTCTCATCCTCTAAAAGTTCAGAAACGCAGATGGGATGCACCTATAAAGACAGCACAGCCACAATAGCAAAGAAGTGCAAAGGTGTTAGTTGTTTGTTGTGAGGAACTGTGTTCGTCCACCCACCCCCCAAAAAAACACTGTGAAAAATATATATTAACCAAGGGGGGAAACACAAAACTATAGTTACAGGAACATATATATATATTAATCGCTTTTTAGAAAAGGGTTTTGCTGTAAGCAGCTCCTACACAACACCTCTGCAAGTGTCCTCCTATCTTCTTTCTCCTACGCTGAAGAGCTCCTTATGCAGGTAAAACTCCTCCCCCTAGAAGATTCCACTATAAAGCAAAAAGGAATTCTGCAACATAATGATCAAAATTCTGATATACACCTTTTTCCAATAAATATACAATTTAGTAATCAATATATTCTTAATAAAATAAAATATAATTAATCCTTTTGTGTACATAAATATTTTAAGAAAATACTTCCTCCTCATAATGGTATCTTCTTTCACATCTATTAACGCATGCGCAGCCCTGGAACAGGCACTACTAAGCCAGCCCCTGTTGCCATGGTTTGGGTCCTACAGACTGCGGGAGAAACCATTTTGCCGGTGAGCAACAAAACAAGACGATTATTAGAAACACATGGGTTAAGCACCAATTTAGCCATAGTTAGTTAGTCCATTTCACTAATAAAACCAAGGAAACAGGTGTTTGGTGTGAGTTAATATTTAATTTTGAACTTACGTGAACAACCTTACTTTATTCTATATGTGGATCCCTAAAGCAATCAAGCAAAGCTGTCCTCGGGATCCAGACTAGTTCAAGTTTGTGTTTGAATCTGGTTTGATCAATTTGTTTAGATGGTGAAGTGCTTGCGTAAAGTATGTGTATGTGTGTGTGATATGATATCTTATGGGACATCTTTTTAGGAAGGCTTCAATGTATAGAAGGAAACTTAGAATGGACAAAATTATTTCATTAAGCTTATAGTTATAGTGAACTATTGTTGCCAGACAACTAGTTTTCTATCCATTCATGTTCTTCTGTGGGTTATCTTGTTGAATAGAGGGTTGTTTGTGTTAGTGCAACTACAGTTTCTCACAGTTTAAATATTATCTGATCATTAGAAATGTGTTCAAACTGGCATTGCTCCTGTTCAACCAAGTTTATCACATCTGATATTCTTCAGGGCTTGTTCTTGGTGCCATTTTTTATCTATATACTTGGTTTGCAAATTGTCATTTTTGGATTAGGGGGCCAGTCTTTACATCTTTAGAATATGTAAATTTTGCTTTACTAACTTTTTAGATTTCTTTGAACAAGCAGTGGCAGTGAGTGATGCAAACAGAATGTAATATCGTATGTTTAGATTTTCAGAAACAACACAACAAAGAAACATTTTGATAAAAATCAACATAAAGATCTGAGAAATTGGCTTCCAGTGTTGGGCATTAATGGAAAATGCAAGTATTTGGGTTATGAACTGTATATTGGATAGAACACAGAGAGTGCATCTCAGGTTGTAGTGATGTAAGTTGCAGAGTAAGACAGTGACCTGGATATTAATACCACTGGTCTTCCTGTTTTATATCAATGATTTACATTCTGGTATAATTAGCAAGCCAGTCAAGTTTACAGATGACCCCAAATATAAGGAATAGCAAACAGTGTAAACAACATTTAGGTAGAATTAAAGACTGCAAACATTTATTTTTACCTTGAATTACTACAAATTATATCACTACAATATAAGCTTAGTATAAATAGTATATTACGCATCTACCGTATGTATTTATTTTAAAATGGGAATTGCTCATGTATTTTATTACATAACTGACGCAAACAAAATCGCTGGGGTTTTTTGAAGCCTGCTTTTTGCAACTTGCTCATGGTGAACTTCTAAAGGTATTTTTTTGTTGGCCTCAAAGGATAAAAATACATGTCATTAAATCACATTTCTTGTCATAGGATATGTGGAGCAATGGTATTTTTTTAATCTCAGTAGTAATTTCAGCATCAATCATTCCAGTAAGGATATAAAATATAAGGACATTATTATCTTTGCATCTAGCCCGCTAGCTCCTTGACATTGAGCATACTGTAGGTCCAGAAGATATGAAGGTGTTTCTTATGACTTTGTGATATCCTTTTAAGCCTGACACTTTTATTGCCCCCCAAGTGTTTGTCCTGTCACTATCTCTGTCCCATATTACTGTATATAAATTGTATATACAGTACTTTCATTTTCAAATAAAAGGATCTTGTAGTTGTTTTTATTCTCTATACTATACTCATCCTTTAGTCTTCAGTCTCTTGAGCAGGGACACGATTGGGTTGTCAGTTCCACAATGAAAGTATATCTTAGTAATAGCATACTATTTTAAAGACTAACAAATGTAAACAGAAGGACTGTATAGAGCACAAGCAGTACCCTTGTCCAAGATGTTCATGTAATGATTTCAAGGCTGTTGGTCATCTAGTATCAGATAGAAAGAATAAACCATACTTGTCTTCATTTTTAGGGAAATTACTAAGTGATTCTATAAGAAATGAATGATATTAAAAGCTGCAACCTATTTTAATCATCAACTTATATTTGATTCCACAAGAAATTGACACATATGCATAGGTTTTAATGTTATTGTGTAAATAAAAAGTTTGTGCTTGGAAATTACCTTATGATTATGGGTAGAGCTTTTTCAGAGATCACGAATAAGTTAATGGAACTTAAAGGGGAAATCTGATGCAAAATGAAAATCAGATATAAACTATAAAAAATACAGTTCAGAATATATCGTGATATTGTAGGATAATTGTATGTTTCAAAACATCTCTGGAATGACACATTGCCAATCTCAAAATTCAGCCCTTTCAGTGCAGCTTCCAAAAAAGATGTTTCAGCCAAAAGATTCAAGAACCTCCCTCTAATAAAAAATAAATTTTTCAACTTTGAGGTGATTGTCTGCAGCTGACAGGAATCAAACCTTGGCATTAAAGGATGAAAGCAGCTTGTTCCTCATAAGCGTCCCAGCAACATGAAGAATAACCTGCAGGACAACAGGGAAGGGAAAGACAACATTCCAGATGAAACCCGATTCCATAAGAGAGCAACCTGCCATGCACCGGAATCAAATTAAATTCTCTGATCTCACAACGAATAACAACATCTAAGAATCAGATGCTATGCAAATGTTTGAGTATTGAAGTATAAGTTTCGGCTTAACCCGCTTGGCTAAGGGGTAGACTGATTGGTCAAGGAGGAGATAACCTTAGAGTTAACCGAGAGGGAGCTGCAAAAGTGGAGATGCTGATATATATACTGTATAGAGAGTGATATACTGTATACAGAGATGGATACTGTAGGGTCTCAAAATGTGCACATTTAACTGTCACAAAATTCGTTTATTCACAAAATTTGGTCTGGCTGATTTGATCTTGTACAACATGGAAGAGAAGAGCAGGGGGAAACCGAGCCAAAGGCTGGGGCAAATTTCAGCTTATTGGCAGAACAGACCAGGACCATGAATCTAGGTAGTGAGTGAGGCTCTCTAGGTAATCACTATCCAGCATCCACACCTCAACGTGATCTTGTTTTTATAATACAACGAACGTGCCCAGTTGTGTCAGCAGTATGGGGAATGACTGACTGGAGACGACTTTACAGGCTCGCTGACAGTTTTGTTGCCCCTTTCATTACAGTGGGGTGTGTTAATCACGGAGCAGAGTATTTCCCATAAAAAGGATAGAGAAAGTACAGACGTCCACTGGATGCAGATGAGGGATTCTTGTTATTTACTGTAGATGATTTAGTCTATGATTACTGCAGTTTGTTTCAGTTGGTTAATATTATTTAAATTAACTTAAAGCTAATGCATTAGTATTTTACTTATCATATAAGGAAAGGTTACTTATGCCTTTTAACCATACAAATAGTATATTATATTCTCTGCACTGAAACCTGATGAATGTGAAGTCAATAATGACTATGACTCAGAGCAGCTGGGGGAAACTGGCCTGTTATACCTCCCGAGCTTCAGTTAAGAACTGTCAGAAAATTTGTGTCTCATGCATCTTTGGGACAATATTTATTCTAAGGAACAATGTCTTCAAAGGCAGCTTAAAACCCCTAGCAAAGTTTGAATAGGAACTCACGAGACCATGGAATGCTCTGCCACTTGATTGGATTTAAACGTTTCACTGAAGTCAGTGAGGTGTTGGTGGAGTGAGAGCTGCTGCCAGTATTCAAACTGAATGTCTAAACCAGAGAAAAAAAGAAATTGTTCGGAAATGAACAGGATTTTGTAACATTAAAGGATTATGAGCTCCTCTCTCTCATGCTTTACCCTGTTATGCACATTGTTTCTTGTGCAGGAAAGTACAATATATGGACTGCATACTATGTACAGTCCATATATTGTACATAAACATGTCAAGAATGTACCTGGAAAAATGTGATTTTACTCTTACTTCATCTAAAAAACATCTCCATCTTTAGTTTCACCTAAAGAATGGTGAAGAAAATTATTTTGTGCATTACCTGCATTCTCAAACCTTGGATACCTGCAGGACATTTTTATGTCAGACTGCTTGTAAAGCTTGTAAAAGCTATGTCTTTAAGAACTACGAAACAAGTATTGATCCAAGGGTAAAAGATGCACACACTCCAGAAGGCGAAGTCACAGTTTGTTTTAATATAAAAGCAAGTCAACCTGAAACACATTGGCATAATGATTTAGCACTCTTTCTTTATAATATCAGTGAATTGAAATCCCTTTATAACCTGCAGCCTTTTATTCCTCATTCTAGAAGCTCATTTTCCTTGTAAAATTATTGGATGTTTTTTACGAGTAGGAGGAACTATGAAATTTTTAGACCTTGAAGAATTTCAAAATGAGTAACCATCAGGACAAGGGCAGCTAGGTCACACCTCATTTTCCAAAACAATTTAACCACATCAGTATCTTTGACCTGAAACAGGGAAGATGTCAGTGTTACTTTGGAAACAAACCAAAAGTATCCAATATACTGAATTATGGTGACAAGACCAAGATGGAATAGTAAGTTGAAAACTATTAAAGACAAAAAAAAGAAACGCTGTTTGAAATCCTGCAGTCAGCTGTTGTTTAGAAACTCTTTGTAAACCAACAGCTGACTTTTTTTTCTACTGTGGCAGGATGTGACATGGTAGGACTGTAACAAACATGGCTCTGCCAGTAGAGGCTGCCAAAAATCCCTCAAAAATACATACAGTTCCATCGGGAGGTCCAATACTGACTGATTAATCATTTGAAAAGGGTTCATGTTTGGGTGTGTGTATATAAGGGTGTCTCACCCAGACATTTGAGAATGAGGAGAGTTTTGCTTTAGTTCATTTTGCAGCATATAACAAAGGTTTACAGTTTTTAAAGCTATTTTTATGTTCCTTTGTGAAGTTAAAAAAATATATTTTTTAAAGGTTTGGAAGCCTCCTTAGTGCTTGTATGTGCGAATGGCCTTGAGGTATCGGTGCGACATGGTGGATATTTCTTCCTGTTAACATAATGCAAATTAAACCGTTACAATTAATTTCACTCATAACTAATAAAGTTCTCTTAATCCTTTAATTCTC